GGGAGCTCCCTTCAGAAACAATCAAAGAGAAAGAATTTAAGATAGAGATTCACATTCTTGGGAAAGTCAAACATGAGAATGTGGCCATATTCTTAGGTTCATGTTCAGAAGGACCACACAGGCTTCTTGTCTATGAGTATGTGTGCAATGGTTCTCTGAACAAATATCTGTCAGGTAAATGCATATGGCTTAGAAAATAAAATTTTCTTCTCTAATATAACTATTTTTTCTGTGGTAATAGTGGGACAATTTGTTTCTGCAGAAAAAAGCAGCAAATTAACATGGGAAACAAGAATTAATATTGCATATGGAGCAGCTAAAGGTTTAGAATATCTGCATAGAGAAAGGATTTATGGAAGCATGAGGCCAAGCAACATACTCGTCACCCATGATTATCAGCCACTAGTAAGATTAATTTGTTGTTTGCTTTGGGTATATTTATATGGCTAGAAGGCAAATGAATACATCACTTGTGCCACTTACCATCTTTACCATCTTTCATATTATGGTCTTGCTAAAAATCAATATGAGGCCTTAGGTCAGTCCTCCAACACCATGGCACTGAGGACATTTGAATACTTAGCACCAGAATATGCACAAAGCGGAATAGACATGAGCAAAGCAGATGTCTATTCCTTTGGGATTGTTCTTCTCGAGCTGATTACTGGCCGAAAGACTCTTGAAGATACAAAGGGGCAAAGCTTCTTGAGATGGGTAATAACTACAGCATTCTTATTTTGAAGATCCTTAATCTAAAATCTTTACTTTGGACGAAATCTATCTTCAAGTCATTGGGCCCCAATGGATCTCTGTTTTTTTCCTCAGGCGAGACCAATCCTGAGTGAGAAAAAGTACATGGAACTGATAGATCCTGCAGTGCAAGATTCTGTTGACCTTTACCAGTTGTTTTGGATGGTTCGTCTGGCAGAGCAATGTCTCGACTGCGATCCCAAGTTGAGAATGTCAATGCATGAGGTATGGTATATGTCTATTCCAAGTTCCACCATCGCTTCCACACACCGAGACAAGGCATTCCTCCACTAAGTTAGATTCGCATTTTAGTATATTGAATGCTGCATGACATGGGGCATATGTTTTGATGCCAGATTAACCGTCAATATGCACAGATATTTTATACAACAAATTTTACATACAAACAGACAAGTAAACATGACCTTATTTGATGATTCTTGTATGGCTTTCCTACAGGTGCTGACGGCTATGGCATGCATAATTAATCCCTGAGGTAGTCAATACAAAGCCAGCAATAAGCCAAAAGCATTCAGGCACTTTAATTTGATTTTCATGACATTTTTATTTGAATTGTGGTTGCAATACATGAAGCATGCGACTTATTCTGTATGTATTGCTTAAGGCAGAACTGGAAGGGAATCATGTCCCACTTTTAGAGATGCAGCATCAAAACTACTCCTTTATACTATGAGTTTTATCTTAGACACGACTTGAATAATATGGAAAAATGGAAGCATATCAGTGCCTCTAAATTTTCAGCTTGCGTCCTATTTTTCTGACATTTGAAATCCAGTTCCAACGCCAAGCCATCAACTTACCAATAAGATCCAGTATTAGTTGTATAAAGAAGCATCATTTGACCATGTATATAAGCCGAAACGATAAATTTAAACATCCTTAATGATAATTCAACAGAGCTAGATTTTGAAAAATAGGCTAGAAAATGCAAAAAAATTTAAAAAGAGTTAGAAATGCTGACTGGGAATTATGTGGATATCTACTACCCAAGTAAGCTCAAGAATGCTTAAGCCTAGACTCCAAATATCCACGAAAATCCATCATACATGTAATTATGATATAAATTATAAGTAATTACCTTGGGACTAACACAAGCAAACTAGCCGGATTCATGAAGAACCACGAAAACCCAAATTCTGCTAATTTCACAGCATTTAGAATTAACTAACATATTCCTAAGCATATTATCTTTGAGCACAAACTTTTTACTGTGGAGGCGCAGAAGGGCAGATAATACCTGACCTGTCTATATATTCTGAGACAGCGTGAATTCCTGTTAACATCAAATTATTCATATTCGAGTGTACGAAGGAGGTTATACTCTTGGATTGTGGGGCTGATATTGGAGCTACTAACTTGACTATATGCTCGACAGCATAAAATTTCCTGTCAGGCTCCAATTCGATTTACATGCTCTAAATTTTGATCGCCATGATACCTGTTTTTCCAATTCTTGGACATTTCTGTTTGTATATTGCTCCGAATTCCATGATATGGGAGAACTATAGGCTCTTATCACTACAAGTCTAGACTAGAGGCAGGGATGTTAAAAATTGAAGGAGATGGCAACGAGCAAAATCTCAATGCGAAAAAAAAAAAAAAAATTCTTAAATATAGGGGGGAAAAATTAAATTTTGAATTTTCAACCATGCATTTTTTACAGTGGCTTGCAATTGGCTCGAACACGAATTGAGTGCTTGAGCTCTCACTTGAGCCGCTCAACTCGTATATGGGGCAAATCGAACCAGTGAGGGGCTCAAACCACTTTACACCCTTATCTGGAGGTGTTAAAAACGATGGCCGGCTCTACCATTTGACACCTCAACCAGTTGGGAGGACCTGTGACATGGGAAAAGCAGGAGTGATTGTTGTTGTTGAAAAATAGATTTGAGTGATCTCTTTAACAAAATTTAAACTTACCAACCTTACCAAAATTGGGGGAAGTAAGGCCAAGTAAAATGGATGCAAGTCCGAGATAAGAGTTAAACTCTTTGTCCTCAAGTTGGTTTTGCCTTGCAAAGGTGCCTACGGATAATGATAATCAACAACCAAGATACAGCGATTACATTCTCTTATTTGTAAAACTTCAAAACCACAAGAACAACGAACCAAAAGATGGCTTTTGTACTCCTTTTTTTTT